AGAAATCAAGGAGGGAAGAAAAAGAGAAGCAAGAAAAAGAGAAAGAAGAAATCAAGGAGGGAAGAAAAAGAGAAGCAAGAAAAAAGAAAGAAAGTAAACAAAACAAAACAAAAAAAAGAAAAAAGAAAAAGAGAGAAGAAAAAGAAATGAAAGTGGAAAATAAAAGCCAAAATGAAAAATAAAATCTAAATGAGAAAATTGAAAATTAAAGAATGAATTATTATTTACATTATTCGGATTGTTATCCTCATCTTCATTGCCATATTCACAACGATTCGGACTGTTATCCTCATCTTCATTGCCATATTCACAACGATTCGGCCGTTGTACGCTCCGACCTTCTTTAGGTGATTAGAATTTCGAACCGAACACTATTTCGTCCACCGGGGTAGATTGTTCTAGTTCCATGTGCCATTCCTCTTCCGGAAGTCTCTCAGTTATTTCCCTTTAACTCGACTCTCCAAGTTTTTGGTTCACCACTGCTGTACCCTGGTATTGAACTCACAACTCTTTGGCTCTAGTCACTGGATCTTACCAACGCTTTTATCCACTATTTATAAAGTGTTCGGTTCGAAATTCCAATCGCCTGAAGAAGGCCGGAGCGTACAGCAGCCGAAACGTTGTGAATATGGCAATGAACATGAGGATAACAGTCTGAATAGTGTAAAGTAAGTATTCATAAGTGCTCTATATAATGTAATTAGGCAACTAAATGATAAAGTTGAAAAATTCTGTGGAACGCGTTTCGTCCTCTAAAAGGACTTCTTCAGACAATCGGACTAAAGCAATGTTCTTGATAGAATATTGACAATGATATTAGAATAATCCAGAACCTATATACTGGGAGCAAGGCGCCTGCATACGGATCGAAAATTCATCAGATATACAAAAATAAGAGCTGTAATTCAAGGATGTGTCTTCTCACCGGACTTATTTAATCTATATAGTAAGGCGATTCTGAGAGAATTAGAAGTCCTACCAGGATTCGATATTGACGGCCACTATCTTAACAACATAAGATATGCAAATGACAAAGAGTTGATAAGCGGACACGGAAAGAAAACTAGAAAAACTTCTACAGAAGGCACTGAAGGAAAGCAAGAAGAAAGTACAAAACATTACTTGTGAGAAGACCGAATATATGTTTGTCAGCAAAAGGAAGAGTTTAGCATGCAAATTACAAATTGAAGATATCGAAATCAACCAATTACAACAATGTAAATACCTTAGAAGTGTTTCAAAAGATGACGGAAAGTGTGGGACTGAAATCAGAAGAGGCATTGGGATAGCGAAAGATGTCTTCCAAAAGTTAAGTAAAGTACTAAGATACACGAAAAATTCCTTAGAAATAAAGAAACGAGTGTTGAACAGTTACGTGATATCTGTTCACCTACATGGCAGTGAATGTTGGACAATCTCCTCATATATGAAATTTTTTGAAAGCAACAGAAACAATTTTTTTGTACTGAACTGTTATGTAATAGAAGTCCTCCTATATGGCAGTGAATATTGGACAATCTCCTCACAGATGAAGAAGAGTCTTGAAGCAAATGAAACAAAGAAAAGTCTGCTGAACTGTTACGTGATATCAGTCCTCCGATATGGCCGTGAATATTGGACAATCTCATCAGACATGAAGAAAACACTTGAAGCAACGGAAATCTGCTTCTACAGAAGGGTGATGACTGAACATGTGAGCAATGACGAAGTTTTAGAGATAATAGAAACGAAAAAATAGACACTTATACTTAACATCAGAAAGGCTCAGTTAAAATTTCTAGCGTACATAATAAGGAAAGAGGGTTGGAAAATTTGACACCCACAGGACATATTGACGACAAGGGGGACAGAGGAAAACAGCGCGAAACCTACCTAAAGTGATTGAGTAAATGGTTGGCAGAACAGGGTCCAGAAGACAAATTTTACTGAGAGCTACAAAGGACAGGAAATTGTGGAGAGCCATGATCGCCAACGTCCTGACGGGCCACGGAACAAACAGGAAGAACACATGCAGAGTGGGAAGATATAAACGTGATCGTTAGTTATAATTATATACTAGGGGAAACGCTGAAGGTGTGGGAAATTAACTTTCAAATATCTGAGTTTTAATTTATAATTTTGCTTACGTTTATATATCCATCTCGTTCTATACAGATATAATTCCATCAAAAAGCGTATTACTTTAGCTTGATAGAGTCCTTTTTGTGGATGAAAAGCGTTATACAGAATTTTTACTTTTTTTGCTTAACATTGTTCCGTTATAGAGAAATTTATATACATCATATTCTCCTATATTATGGAATAAAAAAATATTCCTGTACAAATCTATAGATAAAAATTTCAATGTAAGAAGAAAGAGAATTGGCTTACAAAATAGGGAAAAAAGTGTGTTCGATAAGAAAAGAAAGAACCTAGAAAAATGAATAAAATCTCTTTCGTGAATAGTGAACTATGACAATCATGGCGGAATGTAGCGAATAATTGAAGCCTCGATTTCGCAATGCGAATCTCAGTAACGTGAGAATCCTATGCAATCAACAGGAAAAATAGTGAGATGATTAAACAATCTTAATTAGTCTCTTTCTTTCATTTTTCTCCTCATATTTTCTTCTTTCTTTCTTTCTTTCTTTCTTTCTTTCTTTCTTCTGTTTTCTTTTTGTCTTTCTTTCATTTTCATTCTTCTTTCTTTCTTTCTTTCTTTCTTTCTTTCTTTCTTTTGTTCTCTTTGATCTGAAACAGTCACTGTTATTTTTCTTTCTTTTCTTTTCTGTAATCTTTTCTTCCAATTTATCTTTCTTTCTTCCCTGTTCTCTGTTTGTCTTTCTTTTGTTCTTTTATATTGTTTCCTTCTTTCTGTCGTCATTGTTATTTTTCTTTCTTGCTTTCTTTTTTGTAATCTTTTCTTCCTATTTGTCTTTCTTTCTTTCTTTCTTTCTTTCTTTCTTTCTTTCGTCTGTTTTTTTTTTGTTGAAAAACTAAAGAAAAAAATAGAGTTTTTTTGATTTTTTTTTTTCTTTTTTTTTTCTTTCTTTCTTTCTTTCTTTCTTTCTTTCTTTTGCCAATCTACATTATGGTTTACAGTTTCAGTATTTTTTTAAATTCGTTCTGTCTGATATATTTTAGTTATTTTCGGCTTTTGTTGATCGCTTCTAATAATTGTAATGCGATATTCCCAAGTGAATTTGAAAATAGTTTCATTTAAAGGTAATTTCTTTATTGACATGCGCAACAGAAAAACGAGGCTTGCATTGCGAAATAGAAAAAAAAAGTTTTATTAGTTTCATATCTATGTCAGTTTTCCACAACGGATCGATCTGTCTCTGTCTACATAGCTCTTTTTCTCTTTTTCACAGACGGTAGATATTTCTCTGTCCACCCCCGACTCTCACGCTCATTCTGCCTCTCTGTCTCTCTCTATCTTAGTCTGATCAGATCTATCCTTCTAGGTTGTAATTTTTATCTCAAAGTTCACATGAGTTCTTTTCTATATATTTCGTCTGTTCAGATCTCTCTAATCTCTCTCTCTATCTATCTATATATATATATATATATATATATATATATATATATATATGTTTTAGTTTGTTAATATCTATTTATGTCAGAATGTTCAATCTCTGTCTATGTCAGTATTTTAAAAAATCTCTAAACTCTAAAATTTTCTCTCTCTCTATCATTCTTTGAAGAATGTTTTCTTAATATTTCAAGATCACCCTCTCTGGATTTTTTCTGCTCTCTCTCTCTCTCTCGCTATCTATCTTAGTATTTCAAGATCTCTCTTTCACAAACATTTTCTGACTCTCTCTTTCTATCTTAGTCTATTCATCATTCTCTGTCAGTTTGTTTCTCTCTCTATCGCTCTCACTATCACAATCAGTCCATCTCTCTCATTTCTCTCTCTATCGCTCTCACTATCACAATCAGTCCATTCTCTCTCTCTCTCTCTCTCTCTATATATATATATATATATATATATATATACTAGTCTGTTTAGATCTCTATCTATCTATTTTAGTTTTTAATATTTTTTATGTTTTTATCTCTATCTATCTTGCCATCTACCTCAGTATTTCAAGATCTCTCTCACGTAATCTGACTCTCTCTTTCACTCTATCGGTTCATCTCTCTCTTTCACAATGTCAGTTTGTTCATGTCTCTCTCTCTTTCTTTCCCTCACACACACATTCTATCTGGCTATCTACCTCAATCTACTCAGATGTATCTGATGCAAACTTGATAGAAGCCATCTGTCGGGGTCATCACCATTTTGAAAGTATCAGTTCAGATATATCAAAAGAAACAAAGACAAAAGTCGAATGAGTACAAATATTTTAGTTTTCTTTATCCATTGGTAAGGTGGCATTATAAGAAAATTAACAAAACAAACATCAAGTTCGCATTAAACTCTCAACAAATTCGTTTCGGTGAAAATCATTGATTATTTGATATAAAAATGACCTTTGTTCACATTCAAATTAACTTTAACTTTATTACCCGGGGTTCGGATCCTCAGAAAATATAAATTAAAGCATCACTATTGGCATATCATTAGAAAATTGGCGCTACACATTCTTCCAGCTTTATAGATAATTTCTTCGGGAATGTTAAAATTAACAGAAACTAAGTATATGCTATTACCGTTTATGCATTGATTTGATTCTATCTATCTATCTATCTATCTATCTATTTCTCACTCTGTATATATACATGGTGTCCATAAAGTTCGTGTGCACATTAAAAAATTTATAACTTTATTTGTATTTGCGATAGAAATATTCTGTAAAAAATGATATAAAGTTTAATGTACCTAGTTTTAAGTATAGCTAAAATAACTAATGTGATTTCAGGCATTACTGAAAATCAGTTGGCAAATGTTTTCCGTGAACTGCAAAATCGTATTACCCTTTGTATTGCTAATGATGGAGGACATGTGGAAACTTAAATAAAAATATAGATTTACTTCTTTCTAATCCTTTTCACAAAATATTTCTATCAAAAATACAAATAAAGTTATAAATTTTTTAAAGAGCACACGAACTTTATGGACACCTTGTATATATATTCAGACCGGTAAATGTTGTTTAATACTGTTTATTATAAACAGAGCATTTACTTAAATATTTGTATCTATAAAAAGAATGTATAAACATAAAAAAATGTATATATATATATATATATATATATATATATATATATATATATATAAACATGTTTCATTGAATAATATAGTCATATACAAGTACTATTGCAACATTTAAAAAGACATCCATGACCACCTTCATAATACAGGGAAATACATGTTGACAACACCAATATACTACACAACGAAAACAATTTTTTTGTTTTTAGTTGTTGAGATCATATATATCAAAATCAACCAACCAACACTGAACAAAATTGATTACAAGTGTAGCAGCCACGTGTTGAAGTACATTTATTGCAATTTGCATTTCTACCAATTCTCATATATATATATATATATATATATATATATAATTGTGTGTGTAGAAGCCGTGTTTTTGCATTAAACAATGTTTTTATCCAACGGCCTGAATATTCGGGAAATCTTGTCAGAAAAATAGGCGTCTTCCAGCAGGATTCGAACCTGAATTTCCATGGTTATAATTTATTACTTTGGAATCGTAATTACGATCCAATTCATCAGACCTACAAATTCAAAAAGAAATCAGAAAAAATAAACCCGGAACTAAAAATAAAATTTAGTGAGAGTGTATGTTTGAGAGTGGGGACGAATGTAAGAGGTAAATGAAAGCTTTAGAGAGGGTGTAACAGACGAAAGAAGAAAAGGGAAGGCCAAAAAGGTGGTGGTTAAAATTTAACAGAGAAAGTTTTAAAGAGAGGAGTTAAATTGACGGTAAAAATGAGTGAGATACAGACGTTAAATATGAATTATTTTCTGATGCATAATTCATTACTGAATCGCTGATCTAAATTGGTTAAAAAATCGACACCGGAAATTGCGTTACTACATTTGTGGTGACATTTACGCACAATAAAAGAGGATATAATCTGTCTATTAAAATTATTTAACTGAAGATTGCATTGATTAAACAGAGAGAGAGAGAGAGAAAAAAAAAAAAAGGGGAAGATGGGGGGGGTTGAAAAACCGAAAGAATTTATAAAATTGTTCCCAAAGGATCAAAAATTGATAAAAAGTAATATCACCTACAGGTTACAAATTTAATATAAACATAAAAAAAATATCGACTATTTAATCTAGCAACAATCATTATTTCTATGCCCCAAACACAACAATTACACACATACACTTTTTTTTACTTATTTAAAAATTACATTGAACACGTGTACACACACACACACACACACACACACACATATATATATATATATATATATATATATATATATATATATATATATATATATTTATAATAATTTTGTATATATATATACATCTACGAAAAATTACATACAAACATACACATACGTGCATATAAACATATATACATAAAAGTATTTCACACCTCCATACATTTACATTACACAGAAATCATTTTAAATAAACATACCTTTTATCCATCTATATATCCATCTAACTTATACATATACATACAAATTTGAAGAAAAATATACAGAAAAAACAAAAAAAAATCTTAATATGCAATTATGCTGTATTAATGTTAATATAAAATCAACGTTGGACGTTTCGGTCTATTTTAGACCATCATCAGGACATTTTCATTAAACATAATTAACATTAGATTTATAAAGAATTTTAAATGAAAAAAGACGATTTTTAAAGAAAACAACTAATCCATCGTCTTTTTCATTTGAATTTTATGTTGATAAGTTTATTAACACGCTCTTTCCCAGAATTTGTAAATAAATTTGCTCAGCAAACTTGAAAGTATTTCTTCACAAAAAGCTCTGTGTGTCAAAAGAATAAACACAAATGCGCCTGGGAAGCAAGCGTCTGCAATAGGCTTCGTGATTACGATTGAAATGTGCAGATACAAGTTATAAACCATGGAATATTAATGTTTTGAGCCTTTTATAATATATTCTTCTTCTGTTTGGACAGTTAGCTCTACCTGGATTCTATCCTCTTGAAAACAATATATATATATATATATATATATATATATATATATATATATATATATATATATTTATTGACCACTAATAATAATATATATATATTTTATATATATATATATAATAAATATATATAGGAAATTAGTGTTTTTAAATTAGGATATAGATATCTCGAAACAGGTTTTAAATTTTGAAAAATAGAAACGTTCCATGAAATAGATTTGATTGAAAATAGATTTGATCGTGCATTTCGCAATTCAAGGCTTCATCAGTTCCGAAAACGAAAGAGCAACTTTCGAATCGAAATAAGAATTGTAAAGAAAAGATACCAGAATAAATATTAAAGACTTCTTTAAAAGTCACTAATTTTGTTTCTTCTTTAATCACTAGAAACACCAGTTTACGGAAAGTACTAAGATTGATTATTTCAGCCTATACACGAATAAACATTACGTTTTTGGATCTGATAAAGCCTTGAATGACGAAATGCATTATCAAATCTATTTTCAGTCAATTCTATTTCATGAAAGTTTTATTCATTAGACAATATATCATTCATAAGGTAATAGATGAAAAGCAAATGCCTGGCAATAATAATAATGATGACGACGACGACGATGATGATGATGATGATAATACAATGCTGTTGTTGCAACTTTTATTTTATGTAATTGCTTTTAAGTTTTTTTGACAATTATTGAATCAGAACTTGTAAATCTTCTTTTTTCCAAACCTTGATTGAATGATTCATACAATGAAATTCAGTTGACGAAAAATTGAATATTTAGTTTTATTCACTTTGGGAAATTTTGACTGACTAGAGACGGAAAAGATTTTCTCTCCACATATGATTTCTACATAAAGACTTCTTGTCAAATTCCTCTCTCTCTCTCTCTCTCTGAATGTATATTATATATATATATATATATATATATATATATATATATATAATTTATTTTTGAATATAAATTTCAATTGAGAACTGGAGAGTTATTTTATTAATTCTATAAACAACAGTTAGAATGCGTTAATGTAAAGCTCTTCAGTAAAATGAATTGGTTTTCTCCGGCTGATAAATATTTGTTTATATTATATAAAAAAACAATAATTAGATTTTTTTGTTTATTTTCAGTAGAATGAATATATTCAATTTTGAGCAGATGATATATGACTGATCAGTTGGTTTTTGAGAGACAGTAATGTCTACGAATATATATACATATATATATATATATATATATATATATATATATATATATAGCTGCCACACACAAAATACACATACATTTAAGGATATTATTTCGTTTTAAGATGAAGAATATATCCTTGAATGGCAAAAATGCATTATTTAAATCTTATATGATCAATTATTTTTTTGAAAAATATTTTTATTATTATTTTATTTTATTATTCATTAAACAATATATTTGATTATTTTCCTCTAGCGGACTGAATATTCGAGAAATTTTGTTTCGAAAAAATTGAAATAATTCAAGCCTGCGTTTAATAAAAACCATCATTATATCAATAAATGCTTTCACCTCTCGGCCACGAAGAAGCTTCTGGTCAAACACAGCCCGAATATTGCTGTTTGCAATGCAAGTCACGTTTTTTTATTGCGCATGTCAATAATGAATATGGATACAGACAAAAATAAATGTCAAAATATACTATTAGTAAAATTATTTTTCAAAAAAAATTTATATATATATATATATATATATATATATATATATATATATATAGACATATACTTCAGACACACTTTCATGTCGAACGTCATTCAGCTAGACTGCCATCGATATGTTATTGTCTGCAAAGCAAATAAACAAATAAAATTAAGGTTATTTATAAGAAAATTTTCCTCTTTTGTTTTCAACTAACCTCTTCCCGAAAAATTCGTAGGCCAACATATGAAAATAAGCGGTACTATCTTCAGAGTCACTAAATATATATATATATATATATATATATATATATATATATATCGATATAGTTTATTCTGGCTCCAAATCTTGAAAAAAATATTTGCTTCAGTTTTTAGATATATCTGTGTGTGCACCAAAGTTTGACATTAAGTTGGATATTTTTTAGTGGGGCTGGGTGGTCGGTTAAACATTTGATAGCTAAAATCGAATGTGACCCAGACGACACTTTGTTCGATCAATAAAATGTTATGTCCGATATGAAGATATGAGAGAACAGCTATTTTGATCCACAACAATACATAAGAAAACAAACAC